CGAGAATGCTGCCTTGTTGACCTTGCACACTTCGGAGATCGCCCGTCGACAGAGAATTATTCCCAGAAATGCCCTCGTCGATTTTCGTCCACAAATATTGGCAAGTTCGATTCGCGCAAAAAAGCAGAAAGAAAGTGATAGAAGATTGATACGCATGACCAAGCGTTTTCTCGCACGCGCCTGAGACGCTCGGTGTAAACTTGAATGCGCAATTTCTATCGCACACAAAGCATATTTCAAACTCGGTCGTAAGAGTAAGAGACATACTTAAAATTCTTTGCGAAGCTAATTCGAACTCTCCGCGTGACTTTCCAAGTTCGCCTTTGTAGCTCGTGTGCTTATCGCATAAATGACATTGGTGAATCGTAAGAGTGTATGCATATATGCGGTCCTACTTTTAATTTCGCAACTTTCTTATAAAGATTTCTGTTATCGATTTTAATTAACCCATTCAATTTTAATTATTCAATTAACTTGCTTTAATTGACCGTCATAAATCGCGGAAGTTATCGTCAACCTTGTTTTATGCAAATTTACTCGAAATTCGTATTCAAATATTAAGATGTGTCACTTTCACATCATTTAATACGAAAGAAATATTTAGTCGCAATATTTCGCGTGAATTTTGAAGTGGGAAAATGGTAAACCTTTGGACGATTACGAGGAGTTTTGAAGTCGATCAACAATTGCCAGTATCATTACCGCGGAAATTTACGTTATCGGTAATAATTTAAGCGACACTCCGCCACGTCGGCAATGAGTAGCTGGAACTATAAGAAAACGGTTATCATTGATTGCATAGCCTAGTGACCCTGCACCTCCAGACATGACGATTCTTATAGACGTCGCCGTTCGCGGACGGAGGCCTGTTGAACTTCGTACTCGCAAGCGTGACGAGATCGACTTTTGCAAAACGCATTCCGACTTCAAACGTGGTAGTCCTAATTTGTAGTCGAATCGATCAAGTCCCGCGATAAAAATGCGATGCATAAGAATTGTTCGCATTCACCTAGATACGGAGCGGATCACGCGCGCAGCTGCGATATGTAAAGCAGATGACGCGTGCTGTTTCGCGAAGTGTCGGCCCCAAAAATCCGTGCGAATTTTCATTCCCCGCGGAAACTCCCGCGATTGCCTCCGACAATCCCGCGTCTTACTTACGACGTATGCCAGCATTTACCTTGGCACGAGACACAATGTTGCCGCTGGCTGAGTGGAGAATGGAGGCGCTCCAAGGAGGTTGAGGATTATTGTCAGATTTCATCTCGGGGTGAGATTGAACGCGACACCGCGAACGCGGACATAATGTCAGTCGAGCTTTTAAGACACTTTTAGGCGCAAAATCGCGCCGTCCGCCATAATTTATGGCTATTAGCGAGCACCCGTGCCAAATGGATCGCCTTAATATACAGCGCGGAGAGATAATACGGCGCCCAAAATTCGAAAATTGGATTATACGACTAAATAGGACGAAAAAAGAATAAATTCGGCTCTTGGGAAAATTCACCCTGTTTTTTTCTTTTCTTTTTTTTAATGTATTGCCTCGCGCGTTTATTATTTCATATCCGATGCTTGTAATATTCTATCTCGAGATATTTTCTACTCCACTTATACAGATGGCAATGCGAGATAATGCAAAATTAAAAAAAAAAGGGAATATTCCCAGTTTTATCTTTATCGAACCGCAACTATCGCGTTGCATTTTATGGATCGCGCGTTTCCCGACGAGTATTGCATCATGCAGATATTCATTTTTACAACGTCATATATCTTATGTATCGAGAATACGAGAAACAAATCGTATTGTTTCAACCTTTGCAGTGATGAGCATTTACAGTCGTAAAACATGATTAAATCAAAATATTTTCTTCGCTATTATTTCATCTGTAATTCACGCAAACACTTCTATATATATTTTATTATTTTCCACGCTGTAAATGAAATCTTGAAAGCGATCAGCAAGAAATAAATTATTATTTTGTAAATATGCTCGTAACTCTCGCGAACAATGGACGATGACTGGTATCGATAGTCCGCGGAGCTTGGATTTTATTGGCTTTTAACGTGCGCAACAGCCTCTGTTCTCCTTCCGATCGTTATCTGTTCGAAGTTTAGATCCGGACCAATGATTCCATCCCCTCGTCCCGTTTTGGCCATCTGCCAATTATTTCGGCGTAATATCATTGACGTGGTGTACGATTGAACCAGACACATCCCTTATTTTCCGCGTCCACAAAGACCGCACCGTCGCGCTTAATGAAGAGAAACAAACCGATCATCTCGTCGACAGGTCGGCTAATGCGCGCGACCTCGTTTCCGGAGATGATTCGCGATAATCGAAGAGAATGTTTGGATTAATATCAAGTTTGCGCTCGCAGTGATTTTCGTGGCTCGTCAATTCGAGAAGATTCAATTCATATTTATTCCAATATTAATTTGCAATGCGATTATAAAATAACGCCGAGTATCGACGATGTGATTAATCTATCGCAGGAGTGCACGCTGACTATAATACTTGCGTAACCGCTGACCGCGATAGCGATTACTCGATACGACGGACGCGTAACGGACCGGTCGATGCAAATTATTCTGGGCGAAATTATACGGATTTTAGAACGGTATTTTGCATACAGAAACGTTGCGAAATATTTTACAAACTTTATTCGAGGTGTAATGCCTTGTTAAAAATTCAATGGAAACTCCATGACAGACGTGCGGGTAAGATGAAATGTGTTAACTTCCTTGGGATGGCTCGAGAGCACGAGGAACTTTTTGACAGGACAGACCGCGTGTACAGACGGGTTTTCTGGAATCGATCCAAGCCGCGAGAGTGCCGCTGAGTCGCCGTGTACCTGCGACTAAACGTCAAAAGGAATTCACAAAAGGAAGTCACGTTCGGCTCCCGCGTGCAACGGTGCTCAACTCCGATCGCGAATCAGACGATGTAAAAAGCGATATAAAAAGCGAATGGCACGTGGAGCGTACGCGGAATAAAAAGTCAAATGAATGTCACGTATGCGTCGCGGAAGTAATAGCGTAATCGATCGCGAGAGGAGCGATTATTTCAATAAACACGTGTCAAAGCTCGTGAACATGAGAATGCAAAAACAGATTAGCAAATCATAATAATAGGTTTAAAAACTAGCTCGCACGAAGTAACAAAATTTACATTTTAAAATGTTTTGACATTTAAGCGTCTTATACCTTGCTTCAACGAAACGCAAACATTTTCGATTTCTAAATGATGCGGTAATCATCGTTACATCATCGTATTAAAAAAGAAGCTGTAGTTACCAGTTTCTTTTTTCATTCCAGATCGACATAAAAAAAGAAACGATGTCGAAAATATATATATTTTTCGTCGCAATTTAATGCTATAGTATTACGAAACATGGGAAGGTACTATTGATTATGTGATAATCTGTCGGGTTCATCGATGTTTGATTAATATATCAAACGCTAACGATGTCAAAAGAGTTTTTCGCTTTCTAAGCATAATCAAAGAGGGTTTTAATTCTGTCCATTACTAGGTATTCTCTCTAAAAGAAGGAAAAAACAAAGGTAATTTTGCAGATAGTGTTGAATATAAATCTATCTTAATGTTTTATTAAATTATTTGCATTTAAAGGTATGTAAAATTGTCAAATGCAAAGCAACACGACGCTGACCACTGCACAGAGTGGTATCGTCGAAATCTTTGGGATCGCAATCGCATGGCGAAATCGCGCACGTTTTGCGGTGATCGTTAGAATCCCCTGACATCAGTCATTTTTCGGCGAGCACTATCGCGCCGCGTCCCTGTCAATAAAGGGACGAAAATCGTGATACACGGGATTTAAATGGGTTATAAACATCCCTCGGATCCTCCGTTCAATGCGATACTCGTGAATGACAGCGCGCAGGCGAATGAGAGAAAGCCGCAGGGGGTAGCGAGAGAAGTCGCGCTCGCGCGGCTATCCCTCACGCGTGAGAGGGACGGCGCGGCGCGGCGCAGAGCGGAACGGAGCGGAAACGCAGCGCACTCACCTGAAAGTCGCAGTAGATGATTTCGTTGTCATCGAACAGTCGTATAGTGGCGCGATGCACCACCGTCACGTCGCTCTTGCTGCCGAATTTCAACATTTCTGCCCTCAAGTTGCCACCCAAATTATCCCCCCGACCCTCATCGTCCCTTCCCCCACAGCACCACACACTGCCCGTTTATTAATCGCGGCAACACGCGCCACTGTCGTCGTCGACGCCGGCCGTCGCCGCCGTTGACGCGCGACCGTACTCCGTATTAATCGGCGAGCTGACACGGCACGGCGCGACGGCACGGTAGCACAGCGGTGAACGACGACACATCACCGTGGCGGAAGAACGCGAAGCTATCTGTCAACCAGTCCGTCCACTGGTGCGCCGCCGCCGCGGACGACGCGGCGCTGCCACATCTTTGCTACGCGCCGGCTGTGCGCGCCGTTGCCGTTCCTTATCATGGCGGATGACAGGCGCACCGGTGGTCGCGCAAAATTTCGATTGATCGTCGATATTTCGAAGGATTCGATGAGTGAAATACCAATATAGAGTATTTCCATTAGATTCCCGCACTACACAAAATTGGACGAATCTATTACATCGAACTTTCAGCATGTAGCTCACACAAACGTCAAAATACAGATTTGTCAATGATGCTGTTTTAGAAATCCGCGCTTGTGCGAGAGTTCACATGGACTAAATAACAGTATACTTTTGATAGTTATCAGATTATTATATACTTAAAAATCCCGTAATAAAAGAAATATCAATTCCAAATGAGAAAGCGCACACAATTCTTTTTAGCAAGTAGGGGGCGCTACTTGTCAGACAGTTATACTTATCTCGTAGGATAAGTTGCAAATGTATTTTACCGACCAACAGTTTTTAAGAATATTACATAATCGATAGTCGATAATGAGGGTTGCTGCACTGCCGATCGGCGAAGGTGCTTACATGCACTTAATTGTCTCAGGCACCGTGAAATGTCGCGCGTATACGCAAAGGTGATGGTATACAGCAACGGTGGGGGATGAGCCCGAGGGCGTCGGACAAAGGTTGGCTGTGTCGGGCGACCGGCCGGTGGTGCATTCGCGTTTCAAACATGGCAGCGGCTACCAGCGTTGTCGTGCTCGACAGGGGCAACAACACCACCTGCACCATCAATTTACACGGTGTGTGTGTGTGTGTATGTGTGTGCACGTATGTGTGCATGGTGTGTGTGTTGCGCGCGCGCGCGGGGGCAAACAGGCGAAGCTCTGTCGATCTATCGAGGGAACGCGGCGAAATGAATGAAAGCTCTGTAATGTCAGCGCGAGCTTCTCGTACGCGAGTTTACGCGACGCCGGTGCAACGAGAATCGTGCCGCCGCTCCTGCGTCCCGACGCGATCCGACGAAACTACGTTTGTAAGTGCGTGGTTTATGTGAGTGCGTTTTTCGCTCTCGAGTTTACGGTTTTTTTATTTCTCCCTTTTTTTTAGCGCGGTAACGACGGTGACGGCGCCGGTGGCGGCAACACGGCGGTGCGATATCTCGCGCGTTGTACATCGCGCGGTTGCTTCCTCACGTGTGTCAACGTTTATGCGCGCCCATGCGATCGCTCCGATCGAGATTCTGATCATAATTTTCCATTTTGCAGGAGCCACCGTGGTGTCCTGGCGGGTGAATAACCAGGAACAGCTGTTTGTTAGGTGAGTACATATGCACATAAGATTTTCTATCGTATTACGACACTTTGACAACAAAAACTGGCAAGTTTTCGTAAACATTTCATACAATTGGTTTTTGCTCGCTGATTAATGTCTTTATGTTTCTTCACATTGAATGACATGTCCTGTGTGGTTAAAACAATGGTTGAAATTCTATCACCGGGCAGTTGTAGAGAGTTAAAATTTTCAATGCAATTGGCAAATGTTTAAAACTTGATTCTTACATCAAAGAACATTACATTTTTGTACGAGCGTATTATTAATTATAAAAAACTGTGAAATAAAATTCTAAAATGATGCGATTCTTTCGTGAATCAGCCTGTATAAGTCGTAAGAAGTAGTGTAGAGTCGTTTAAGTAAATGTTGACGCAAGTTGTAAGGTTACGCGCGAGGTTACGCATCTTAGATGAGAATGCGTTTAGTTTTCTTGCACATAGCAATATAAAATTATAACATCGGAGAAACGTTACATGAATTACGGCTTGTTACAAAAAAGTTAATAAGATTGTAAATATAGTTTATGCAGCAATATCGAACTGGCGCAAGTTTTTTTTATGAATTTTAATACATTTTGCATTAACATTTTGCAACTCCAAATGTCGTTTGCAAGAAAGTAAAGTATATTTAACATTTTGGTATTTAAAACACATATTATTTGTATCTGAAATATGTTTGATTTAATATATTAACATAAGAACGAAGAATTTTTCAACGCGCATAAATATTTTTTTAAATATTTTCAATGATGAATGATATTGATAGAAAAATTGATTCCGTTATTATTCGAAACATGTTTGATAAAATATGGTAAAAATGCTGTGACAGAAATCTGCGGTTGAGACTATTACTATTATTTGAGCTTGAGATTCAAGGCTTATACTACGTAAGCATGAATTACTGTTCGTGAATAACACCTTCTAGATGAGAACAAAGTCTGTTGGCGTGCTTGACCTGCACCGATTGCCTAACAAATTACTCAACTCAACTGAAAAAAAAACTACGAGAATCAAAGAAATATTTACAGCATCTTTGTCGATATTTGAGTCGCTTAAGAGGGCGTATTTTTATCAAATTCAATTGTCGGAGAAACGCAAATAACTTTTCAATTTAAAAGTATGTTAACATTTCATTTTGTTTTCTCATATTTACATCAATGAATGTTCTTTTTGCATCAAGCTATCTGTATATTTGAGAATAAAAAAATTCGATACTCTTTTAAGCGATTTATTTGTCGAACAATTCATACTTTGGATATTTAAATCAACTCCCACAATGCGAACAGTCGTCACGGTGGCAATACGCGAGCAAAAAAACCAAACCAAAAAACAAACCATAATTTCTACGGATGCAGATCAATGTCAAAATCTGTTTCGCTCTTGCGATGACTCATAAAAAACAACTTCACTGCCGAGTACGTGACTGATCCAAGGTTTCTCGCCGCGAAATGTGTAGAATCAATGTGCGATTTCAATCAGACAGAAGACAAGCCAGATCTGTTCGATTACACTTTCTATACCCGAGCTTTCTTTTACCCACTTTTCAGTGTTTACAATTCTGCTGAAATATATATTTGCTAATATTTTCTTCGCACGGAATCGTTAATTTGCGCTTTGTCGCGCCGTAGATAACGATTGTTTTCCATCTCGGATAAACATCGCACTATGTAATATTCAGTGCATCGAATCACCGCCGCAAGCGAATGATGTATTCTTAAAGTCAACGTACGATATATCACTCTGTGATACATAATTCTTGAATTGCGTCTCGGATGCAATACGTTTTACGACGCTGAGATCCGGAAAATCTACTTATCGCGCCGCTGGGAAACGATCGCCGCGCACGAACGAGGACGTTTATTTCATTATTTGCGCAATATTTTTATAATCTTCTTGCGGGGATCGAACGTTATCAATTCCTCGCGACAATGCGGCGGGTATATAACGCGAGAAGGAAGAGACACGGGAGAAGGCGCGCGCGCACACCTGCCGAGAAAGAACCGCGTAAAAGCGCGGTGCCCGTGACGATCGCTTTAAAAGCGGCGGCCCGAGAGCAGACGATGAAAAAACTGACGGAGCGAAGGCAAGGGCGCTCTCTGGACCAGTACATACCTTATACACGGGGTTCAGGGCCCCTCGCCGCTCGCCAGTCATCGGTCCTTCCGACTGTAAAGCCGCTGTCGAGACTGGGTTTTGTAATAGACCCGCGAACTCCGCCGGGAACGATGATAGCGTGAAACTGATGAAAGATCAACTTTTAACACTCAATTGTCGATCAGCCGTCATCCGTGTACTTTCGCCGTCGCGCGGAACTGCCAATTCCGATCCAGTAAAGAATATATGAAATGCGCGGGAAAAATGCGACGAGTCATTTAATACGCTATTACGCATTTTATTAAAAAGATTGCAAAAAACCATAATTATTTTTTTTCCTCGCGTTGCTTATCGAAAATTCGATTTGCGAATATAATGTGCGGAGTCATCGTTCGACTGCCAGCCGGGACGTGGAGCTGTCCGTTCTGGGAGCACCGTTAAAGAATTTTAACGGTGGCGAGAGCGCGGCGCACGTATACGCGCACACATATACGCGCGACGCAAGACGCTCGGCAAACACGCTCGTAATTTACTCCAATTTCCCTCGAAACGGCCATAAAAGTTATGTCGGTATGTCCGGTCGCGGCGCGATACTGATCGCGATGCAGCGCGCTGCGAGAATATATACTTTAACGACCGATACACTGTGCGTCAGCCGAAAGGAAAACAGCAGTCTTAACTTCGATTAATAATGCCGGGCGAATTAATGCGATCAACAGAGTGTCCATCCCGCAAAATTAACAAGCGACAAAATCTGCGGCGAACATCGTATTTGCTTCAATAAGAATTTCATCTTTTTATTTATTACATACTTCGTTGTGTAATAAATTTACTTAGAGAGAAACGGCACTCAGGATGACGTAAAAGAAATCCGTCGCTGAGACACGGCTCTCGCGTACGGATAAATAATCAACGCATCGATCACACCGCGTAAAGAGATTGAATCAGCCGTTTCGAACGTGACTGGTTGGTGCTGCGCGCACCATTCGGTAACACGAGAGGACCACGTGCAGCACCTCTCAGTTCTTACCAGATCCGACCGCGAATGTGGACGTGCCCTCGTCGAACATCTGCGTCCACGGGCGTCCAAAAACGGAGACGAAGAATCGGCGGTCGATGAGCGACGGCCGCGCGAGCGGCTGCAGCTGAAACGACAAAGTAATTAGACGGACTTGATGTGCAATACTTAATAGCGACGAGAATCGATTATTTTAAACGCGTAAAAATTCGAATGTGTAATTCGCCCCGATCGTTCGATAGAAAATTCGTGAGACTTCGAGTCTCTGCGATCGGATTTCCGTTGCCGCAGCGGTGAACTAAACGCAAACGGTTGCATCCGGCGTGATTGTGCCGGGAATATTAGCAGTCACGCACAACCCCTTTCGATATCAAGACAGCGGGGCGACCTAACTGTTCTTCGCTCGGGAATAGACAAAGACCGGCGGCGATCGGGGGTGAGCTCGCAGCGGGGCGGCGGGAAGGAAGAGAGAAAGAGAGAGAGACAGAATGAGAGACGGAAAGGGTGAGAGGATACGCGACGGAGATAAATAGTTGGAACGAGTCAAGAAACGCGACGGAGACAGGAGGGAGGGAGAGAGAGAGAGAGGGAACGAAAGGGGTGCGGGTATACAAATGCACGATTCATCTTGGCAGAGGGATGGGACGATGATTAAGGGTCCCTCGTCTATCCTCACCACGCCTAAAGACGCGGTTGCGTACACACATGCTCTCCGCTCATGAGAGGGGGAAGACAGAGAGAGAGAGAGAGAGAGAGAGAGAGAAAGAAAGAAAGGGACGTGGAAGGAAAACGTCGTTAATGGCTGCCGGTCAGGATCCGACCATGAAATTTCAGCTCGACTTTTGGATTAGAGGTTTCGTTCGGGCCGTGGAACTCTCGTCTCACTCGCGTGACGATCTCTACGCGCCGTGTGACGAGAAGATAATTCGGCCGGAGGAGAGAAAGAGCGCGATGTGCGTCAAGCGTGATTGCCTCTACGCGTTCCGACCGCAAATCTGATTTACTTTCGGATTCTGTCGTTCCCGAAATTAAATTTCGTACAAAATTGATCGAACTTTAATTGCGAGACTTTTCGTCCGCGCGATTAATTAACTTCTAATTAAAAATAGAATTAAGACGTCGTCGAAATATTACGGGTCTTCGCGAGTGAGCGGGCCGCGCGCGCGAGGGGCAAGAAGAATGTCAGACGGCACGGTGGCGCATTAGAAACGTCCCGTGCTCTCGCGTGCATTTGACACCACATACGTCTTTGTCGTCGGGGATTGGTTCGTGCCGAGCATATGGCGAAGAACGTCTGTTTCTAGCGGTAACGCGAAGGCACTCGGAGGATTCTTTCTCCCGAACTCTGGAAACATTACGATTTTACGCGTTACTTTACATGCGTCGTCACTTCCGCCGGACAAATATATTTTTCACTTCAACAATTTTTCGAATATGCGGCGTCGGTAGGATGTGAATTGCGAGAGCTTTTCGTTACGACGTTTCATTGGAAAAGAATATGATGTGTTAATGCAAGAAGGATTTGAAATTTTGATAAAGATATCGCAACCGTTTGTTTGATAGTGATGACTTTTCGGTCTGTCTCTCTCTGTCTATACTTCTAAATAATCACACGGCTCGACCGTGACTCTTTGCCCGAATCTTCGATCGACCGATCGATGATCTGTCAACAGTCTGTCAAAATAATAACATATTTAGGTATTGAAACCAATGGTTAACGAAAAATAGAAAACGCTCCTATATATACGTAGGAATATTATAAAAGTATAGAAATTTTTTATTGTCCAGACATTGCCGATCGGTTGAACGAAAATAATAATGCACGGAATGCTACGAATTCGGAGCTGTTAGCGTTTGGAATCATCGGAGAATTG